GGCTCAGCCTGGATAATGAGTTGAAGAAACTACTTATTAAGACCCTTTTATGGGGACTGGAGAGGCGGCTCAGCAGTGAAGAGCACTGGCTGCTCTTGCAGAGGACCTGGGCTCGGTTCCAAGCACCCACATTGGCTTACAACCATCCATAACTCCAGTTCCAAGGGATCCGACACCCTCTTCTGACCTCTGAGGGCATCACATGACATGGGTGCATTTACACACATGTAGACAATATACTTATACACATCAAATTAAAAAAAAAGAGAGACCCTTTTATGTAGGTTTGAGGAGAATTAAGATTTTAGGGAAGTGGCTACAGATGCTTTATTAGTCAGTGTTCCATCATTATAAAAAAATACTTGAGAGATAATTAATACCTAAAGAGAAAAGGTTTATTTGAGTTACAGTTTTGGAGCCTCCAGTCCATGATCTAGTTGGCACCACGGTTTGAGCCTGTGATGAAGCAGCATATCACAGCAGGAGCTCATGGTGGAACGAAACCCCTCACCTTGTTACTTTATCAAGAGGAAGGAACCGAAGTCCCAGTTTCCCTTTCAAGGCCATGCCCCCAGTGATGTAGGGAACTCCCATTCAGAGTCCCAACCTCTTAAAGGCTGTACCACCTCTCATTAGTGCTGAGGACCAAGCTTTTGGGGGACACTCAAGATCCAGGCCATATCAGATACTAGATGTATAGAAATGCTGCTTTTACTATTCAGGAGTGATCTTCAAAAATTGGAGGGCGTATGGAAAGGGAAATGCTGGTTTCTGTGTTGGCAGACCCTTCACACTTTTAGTGAGAACACAAAATGCAACTGTCTTTTGCCTAATGGGGGATGCATTAGAGAGGATGATCTGTAAGAGCCATCTGACCCTCAAAGATGTGTGGCTCATAATCCACTGTGTGGAGCTTGGCAGCCTCCAAACCTGCCAGCTGCCCCCTAGGGATGAACTCCAGGCCTGAGGTCCCAGAGTGACCTGGTTCCTTCTGGTTTCTCTCTCCTAGCAGCAGGCTTCCTGGGCTTTTTCTTTTAGTAATTGCCACCACTAGTTCTGCTCTGTCCCTGAAGATAAGCACGTAGGCCTTTTTTATTTTAAGATTTTGCTGTCAAGTGGGAATAACAGCACTAGGAAATCAGAAAAGTTGCAGACGGATTCCCTTCTGGAAGCCTCTTGGGACATAGCTTTTTTTATTCTTAGGTCAGGCTTGCCTTTCCTTCAAAGTTTCTTGCTGGTCTCCCATTAAAGGCAAAGTTTGCTTTCAAGAAGCCTCATTCCCAGCACGTAGGCTGAAGAGTCACAGAGTGCGGAGTGATCCAATGGTCCCTAATTCACCGTTTCAGTCTGGGAGCTTGCAGCTCTGTAGATGTCCTGCGGGCATTGGGCTCTGAGCCAGTTGGGACTTTTCCTCAAAAATCTTCCTTTTCTTTTGCAATACAAAGCACAGTCTCTCAATCTCGTGTGAAGGGGTATTTTGAGACAGGGTTTCACTTTGTAGCAAGCTAGCCTAGAACTCACTATGTAGCCCAGGTTGGCCTCAAACTTATGCTCTTCCTGCCAATCTTTTTTTTTTTTTTTTTAAACTACATCTGGCCCACCCAGTGTGAAATTTACATTGAACTTTTCCCCAAGTTCAACATAAATCATAGCTATTCTGGATGGTGCCACAATGTGATTTTTTTTTTAAGTGGGGATCCACTGACATTATTTGATAGTAAGGACCATTTGATGAGTAGAGAATGAGATAAGTTGGCCTGATGGCTGAAAGCCTCAGGTGAGTGTCATGAGGCTTGTTTTCCTTGTGAGTTGACTTCAGATGACATCTTTTGCTTTTGGAAAACAATATCCCAGACATGAAATAAGAAACTATGAGTCACATAATAAATATAATACCAGCCTTGTGTCATGGCTGCTTTTAGAGTATTGTATTTAGCACTCATTTAATTATCTGTTTCCTACAAAAGTTGGCAGGCCTGCCTTTCCTCCCCAATGTAAACAAAATAATATTTAATTCCTTTGCTACTTATTGCCATAATCGTAGAAACACTTTAAAAAAACCTGTCTTAACTTCTGTTTTGAATGGGAGTTTTCAACAAAGCTTTTTTTAAAACTTTTTCCTTGGAATAAATCTAAAAGATGAAATGGAATGTTCATTTGGGAAAGTGATCAGGCTCCTTCACTATGAGGAAGAAAAGTATGGTTACTGAAGAAATGTCAGAGAAAGGTCTTTTTGTTAGCCGTCACATTCCACCCCCACCTCCTGCAGTCCAGGGTCTAGAGTTCAGCTCTGATAGCCCAGAAACTTGATTTTGTCAGCTCACTGAGCATCAGCTGAACTGAGGGGGTGCTGATCATGGCCTGCTGCGCTCAGTATGCTCTCTTCTATGTAGCAGCCCTTTGAGGAGCCAAATGATAATCAGAGGTTTGCTTGATGAGCATGACGTCAGAGCCAGAGGGTGAGGGGTGCAATGAATGGCATGTGTCACACAGCCTCAGGCACTGAATGTTCTCCCCACACCAGACAGGGTTGCGGAGGCTCCTCCTGCCTACCTAGTGAGACACAATGTGAATAGCGTCCCTTGTTAAACGAGGACACAAAACTCTCTAAGGCTTGGACTGACCGCTTGTCCCAGTGGAGTTTTCTGCTTATGCCAGTTGTCTCCATTTGATTTTTGGTGTTCACCATCACCTTCAGCCTCCAGACTATATTAGACCCCCAAAACATTGGAAAGATAAAGCCAAAACATCAGACCTCTTTATGCTGTCCTCAGCATCATGGAGATAGGCCTGGAGGGTTAGTGGATATCTTAAAAGAAAGCCAAAGGGTAATGAATAAGTACTGCATAAAAACATAAAAACCCGAGCTTGCTGCAGATGGTTGGGAAATCTAAGGCAAACTGTATGGATGTGTGGATTAAGCACTGACTTCATCTTTAGTGATGCTTTTGGAGAGTACTGCTTTGTTCAAAGCATCTTTAGTCAGGCAGCTAAGCTTCACAGCTCACTTATCAGCATGGCTTACTTTTGTAGCCAACCTCCTTTTAACAGAGTTTTATACATTTCATTCTCACAGTTATACAATTTTTGACAGTGTCCTCACATTCTGGGGGTACTTTACAAAGCTCTGTATGTACAGACTACAAAATAAGCTTGTTAGAGTCACAGGAATGATGCTTTTCTGGCTTGCCCAGAATAGCATTATTATTAAAAACACTTAGTAGATATCAAACATTTATTCAGTCAAGTGCAGCTGTTGTTTTTACACTCGAATTTTTTCATCTTTGTCAATAGGAACCTGTCAACATGGCCTTTGTGCTCTTGTGACATGACCCCATTCATCCTGGAGCTCTTCCCGAGTTCATCAAGATGCTCTATACTCACCTGTGCCTTTTCTGGCTCAGGCCTGGAGTCAGCCACTGTGCAAAGAACCACTGCTCCTCTTGGTGGGGAGAGGGTTTTAGAGTCTGTAACCTGGGTACTGTGGATGTTTATTATTGCTGAGTTGTCTGCCTTTCTACACTGATTTGAGTAGATGTATTTATGCTTAAAAAAGTATTTTCAATTTAAATATATTAGTTATAAGTGTGGCTTCATATACTTCTAATCCCAGCGTTCAGGAGACTGAAACAGGCGGATAGCAAGTTTGAGGCTAGCCTGGGCTATGTAGGGAGACTGCCTCAAAAACCAAACATAATTTAGTAGTTTAAAGAAAATCAATTCTTTGATTATATAATTGTGTATAATTTGACATTAGTCATTTGCTTTAGCTGATAATGCATGAGTTAAAGCATCAATATTGAGTAAAATTAAGATTTATCTTCTGTTCTTTGTCCTTAGAGTACATAGCCCTGTTAAAGTACAATTATTTTTTCTATGTTCCTATGCTATAAATGATGTATTCAGTTTTATTAATTTGTTTTTATTCATTTTCCATAGTTTTCTTTAAAAATTTAAATTTAATATCAATGAGCCTGTCATTTCAGAGTCAAAACTATAAGGTAAATCTAGAGAAATCTCAATGTTCCATTCTTGTGTCCACACTGCTCCCTCTTCCATAATTTTGTGTGTGTGTGTGTGTGTGCATGTATGTGTGTGCAGGTGTGTGTGTAGGTGCACATGGAAGCCAGAGGACAGTTTCTGGCATTGTTCCTCCCCAGAGCCATCCACCTTGGTTTTTTTGAGACAGGGTCTTAACTGGCCTCCTCTCTCAAAAATTTTAAAATTCATTTTTGGTTTATCTAGTGTCTTTCTTCCCCCTCTAAAGATTACCAAATAAAATTATCTTTATACCTCCCACATCCCTGCCTCCCTTATTTTTAAGGCAAATATTCCATTGTTCTTTAAGAATGACCTTTTCTTTTTTTTAACAGCATTGGTGGTTAATACTAGTTCAGCAGCGCTGATGCTCTGAAGAGATAAGGGAACACTTTAAAGGCTTCTTGTTGGGCGTGTGGTGATCCACGTCTTTAATCCCAGCACTCTGGAAGCAGAGGCAGGTAGATCTAAGGGTCAGCCTGGTCTACATAGCAAGTTCCAGATCTGCTGGGGCTACAGGGGAACCCCGTTTCAAAAACAAAACCCCACAAAAACAAAACAACTACAAAACAAAACCCCCTACTTAAATTTTTCCAAGAGGAGTAACCATTGTTAATATTATTAACATGATTTCCTTGCTTCTCTAAGCTGTGAGGAAAGAAATTAACACAATTTATGATCAAGTTTGGGGTCACCATCTGCCAGTTTCTATGCCCCAAGGTGGGATTCATCCTGCGGGGGCTGCCCAGACAAAGTGGGCACTTCTCAGCTGGTTGGCACCGCGCACCTGAGGCCCCTGCATCCCTCTCGCCTTTCTCTAGAAGTATGGATATCTCTGCCTGCTTCTGGTTGCTGTCCTCGGGAACGGGTTTTTCGGGCTCCGGGGCTCGCAGGCTCCAGCGCACTCGGATGCCAGGATTGGAGGCGGAGGCACCGCCTCCGTCTCCCGCGCGCCCGCGCGCTCGCTCCCGGCTCCTCCCCGCCCCAGCCGGCTCCAGTCTCCTCGGTGCAGGCTCCGCACTGCAGATGCCAGCCCGCCTTCGGGTGCTCAGTGGCCCCCGCCGCGCCTTGCCGGTGCTCTGGGCTCCCGAGCTCGGGCTGCGCTCCCGCGGCTCCCGAGGGCGGCCTCGCCCGGAGCTTTGCGTGCGAAGCCGTTCCGCCGGCCGGGCAGCTGGGGCCGAGGCGGACGGTGCCCCGAGCGCTTTCGGATGCGGCAGGACAAGCTCACCAGCTCTCTGCGGCGCGGGGGAAGATGCCCGAAGCGCCAGGGTGGCGGCGGCGGCGTGGGCACCATCCTGAGCAACGTGCTCAAGAAGCGCAGCTGCATCTCTCGGACCGCGCCCCGGCTGCTCTGCACCTTGGAGCCGGGTGAGCTGCGGCGCTGCAGACGCGGCGCTGGGCAGTCGCGTGGCGGGATGCTAGTGCCGCGGGGTGCCCTGCCGGCCTGGGAGGGCACGGAGCACACCCGGCCCGGGTGCGGGCAGCCGGCTCCCGGGGCGCCGCGAAGACGCCCCGCGGCCTGTACACGGCCTCGGTGCGCGGCGGGGAAGCTGCCCCCGCCAGCCAAGGTTGTGTCACCTATTGTGCTCCGGGCTTGCGGGAAGCCAGACCTCTAAGAAGGTGTGTGGGTTCGCGAGAGCACAGCCTTAACCCACAGGTCGGAGGGAAAGGGAGCGACTGTGATGGAAAAGCCGAGCGTATGTTTTCCAGAGTCTAGTCCCTGGGGTTGTGAGTCCTGGGCACAGCTCTCCTGGTCAGTCTCTTCTGAGTCCGGGTGGGAGAGGGCAGGAGCTTCTCTGTAGGTAAGGTCCAGGAACGCGCCTGATTGTATTACGATAGGCCTTTTCTGCCATCAGCCTGTGTTTACGCATCCCTGCTTCCCCCGGCTCTTCCTGTCTCCGAGCCAGCTCCTTCAGTCCGCATCCTTGCTGGGGTTTTCAGAGCCTGGCTTAGCGCGGGCGCCTGGGCGCTGAGGGTTCCGGCAAGGGCTAGCCGCGGAGGGAGCATCTGTAGTTGCACCTGAGCTTGAGCTTGGCGCTCACCTTTCCCTGGAGTGACCTCAGCTGGCTCCGGGAGGATTGTCATCTCCACAGTCCTCCCTCTCGCACGCCCAACCCCTACCCCGCGCCTTCGGGGACCCGCTGTCTCTCAGCTGCAGTAGATTTTGCGCTGGGTCCCAAAGGGCGGAACACGTCGCTGCCTTTCCGAACCTCGTGGTTTCTTTGTTTTTTTCCCCACGGAAGCGTCTAATAGTATTTATTCACCTTCTTCTTTTACCTTTTTTTTTTTTTTTTTAATTTTCTCACGTTGAAAAGTGTTTTGTATTTCTGAATCCGGAACAGCTGTGATTATCGGACGAAACATAAACCTTCTCTCCTTTCACTTAAAAGAAAAGGGTGAAAATGACCCGATTTAAGTCTTTAGATGAGGGCGGCAAATGATCAATTCCACGTAAGACCTGACTCATTATTGTTCATAGGAAAATAGTTTGGTTTTGACTAACTAGCCCCAGTTGGATTTCAGCACAGGAAGGCAATCAGCATTAAGCCCAGCAGGTGATCCAAAAAAGTCAAAGGAGCATATTTGGCCGAACATACTGGAGGAGTCCTGTGGTTTTATGGCAGCTACAAAAAGTCAGCAAGGGGCTGAATTTCCTGGTCTTTGTTGTAATAAAGGAAGTCGTGTCTATAAACTCCTGCATTCAGCACCCCGGGCTTGAACAGCACACTTACATCAAAGCCCATTTCATTGGCAAGAGCTGGAGGCACTCTTGTGTGTCACCTCCATCTATCTCTATCAGGAGTTCATTTAAACCGTCTCTAAGTGGGAAGACTCAGTGGGTTAATATTCTCTCGAAGCAGAAAATAATCTATCCAGGCATAGCATGGTTTTGGTTCCAAAGGTAGGAAAACAAGTATCAAGGCATCCAACTGGATGCCCTGGGCTCCTTGGAACCCAGGTTCCAAGCATGTGTCCACAGCACTGGTGCAGGGCTCCAAGAAGAGCAAGCATTTGTTTGGTCATGGGCTTCGGCAAATTAGACACATCTTTTCTGCATCTTGATTCCATAGATATGTCTTCTAACAGACTATTATTATTTTTTTAAGCCCTGAAGACTACTTCTGTCCATATCAGTCTCCAAGTGGTTGATGTTGTGGAGAGGTTTTCAACATGTGTAACCTGCAATCAACATCTTAGAGGCAACAGCCTCATTATTTGATTTTTGCAGTTTGTAAAACAATATTATTGAGTGTTTGGCATTTATTGCTCCTTGGATTTGTAACCAATAAGTGGGTTAAGGGGCTGGGGAGATGGCTCAGGGGTACAGTGCTTGCTGCAGAAGCATGAGATCTTGAGTTTGCATCCTGAGCACCCATGTAAAAGCCAGCACAGTGCAAGTCTTAGTCCCAATATTGGTGGGGGGTATGGGGAGGTGTGGATACAGATCATTGACTGTCCAGCCTAGCTGCAAAGTTGAGAGACTCTCTCCCCAGATTAAAGTGGAGAGTGATTGAGGAAGATGCAGGACATTGGCCTCTGGCATGCATACTCATCTGCACATACACATACACACATATGACTACATACATACAATACACACAAGACGTGTACATATGGCTTAAAGCTGAGCATGATGGTATCTGCCTGTAGACCCAGTACTTAGGAGGTAAAGGCAGGATCACCTCAAGTTGAAGATCAGGCTGGTCTACATAGTGAGGTCTGGACAATTGGAGGCTACATAACAAGACCCTGTGTTAAAAAAAAAAGTCTTAAAATGTTACAATTGATTTTGAAATTATAGAAAAAGAATAGTATTTTCAGGTTTGATTATATTTTTATAGAATTTAAGCAAGAATTGTTATGAAATTTCACTTCAACAGCACATAATTCTAATATGGAATTGTGAATAAGGCCAAATATAAGTGTTAAAATTTACTTATGCCAGGCATGGTGGCACACGGCTTTAATCCCAGCACTTGGGAGGCAGAGGCACTGGATCTCTGTGAGTTCAAGGCCATCCTGGTCTACATAGTGAGTTCCAGGACAGCTGGGGCTACAGGGAGACCCTGTCTCAAAAAGATCAAAAATTTTTTTTTTACTTATGTATTTTTCTGCTTCTGTTCCATAGACTTGGGATCTGAGTCAAAGAAAATTCAGTGACTGGGCATGGTGGCACATGCCTTTAATCCCAGCATTCAGGAGGCAGAGGCAGGCAGGTCTCTGTGAGTTTAAGGCCAGCCTAGTCTACATAATGAGTTCCATGCCAGCTGGGGTTACAGGGAGACCCTGATTCAAAAAAACAAAAAACCAAAGAAGGTTAAAGTTGTAGATTACTTAGTTTTAGAATTTAGTTCTATTTTTAGTTCATAGTCTTGAATTTAATACACTGTTATCGTCAGTGGATAAGCGTATCAAAACAAAAATATATGAAAATCTCCAAGTGGAATTGTTATAATAAATTATTCCATGGGAGAATGGAGGGGGGTGGTAAGGGATGTAGCTCAGTGATAGCAGGGCTATAGATTTACTCCACTGCGCCACCAAAACAAAACAGGGAAAAGAGCTACACAGACTCACTCAGGGCCTTCCACGTATCAGGCAAGCACTTTACCTCCTCCTAACATTCACAGTGCCACGATAATATTTTATAGCATTTGATACTCTGGTAAAGCTTTTCTTTTTCTTTTTTTCTGGTGTTGGGAATGGAACCCAGGCTCTCATTCATGCTAGACAATCCCTGTACTGCTGAGCCACACCTCCAGCTATTGAAGTTTCTGTAATAGTCTTAGTCCATTCAAGTGTAGTAGAAAAACAAACTCTGTAAGTAGAAAACTCTCCTCTTGTATGTCATAACTATTAATTACACCAGGCGAGGAGATTTACAATTGCCACAACAGTCCTCTGAGACAGGCATTGTTACCCTCAATTGGGGCTTGAGGCCCAGACAAGCTAGGTAGTTTACTTGGGTTTTGGGACCAAAGATAATGATGGCTGATGACTCTAGCCTTATGGTATCATTTATTGTTTTCATTTTTGTATTATTTTAGGCTTCTGTGGAGACCGCCATCCAATGTTATAATCTCCATTTTACTGTCTTAGGGCATTTTCCAATTTTCGAATCAATATGACTTTTATATTAATAAATGACCAAACTTTAGAAAAAAATTTTAATTTTTTAAAAATGACAATTCAGTAGAACCAAAGCTGATTTTTCTTTACAATATAACTTGTTATAGTTTACATAAATAATAATTATTTATTTTTCTTTTAGGAGTTGATACAAAATTGAAGTTCACTCTTGAGCCTTCTTTAGGTCAAAATGGTTTTCAACAGGTAACTTTACTTTTGGTTTCTTTTAAGGCAGTTTTAGTTTGGGACATCAGTAGGGTATATTGGCTTATGTTCTTAAATTGAGAATATTCACATATATTTTTATACAACAAAGATGCCAGTTTTTTTTACAGTTCCTTGTAAAATAAATTTTTTTGTAAAATAAATTTTTAAAATTTTATTTATTATTTTAATTTTATATGTATGAGTGTTTTGTCTGCATGTCATGAAGTGCCCACCGTCAGAAGAGGGTGTTGGTCAGAAGAGGGTGTTGAATTCCCTGGAACTGGATTTAGGACAGTTGTTAGCTACCATGTGGGTCCTGGGATTCGAGCCTGAGTCCTCTGTAAGAGCAGCCAGTGCCCTTAACAACTGAGCTATCTCTCTAGCCTTGTAAAATAACTTTTAAAGCATAAGGAACATAGATTTATATTTGCAGTGAACAATTTTCTGTAAGTGGCACAAGTGTGAATAAATTTAGGGGAATCTGATAACTACTGTAGAAACCACACAATGCAAATAAATTAAAAAACTCACATATCTATTATTTTTAACATATGTGTTTTGGCTTTTGAATCAGAGCTTCCCAACTACTGGGGTCAAATGGGTAACAGGTATGTTTAGTTAGGGTATCAGAGGCATGAGGCTTGGAGTGGTCACAGTACCCAGAATGATAATTACTGGCAGAAAGAAGCTCTGACTGTCCTAGTGTGCTCTATTAACTTTCTCATGCAGTATGGGTGTAAAGATGGAGAAAAGCCTGAAAAGTGCTGATCCAGGTCAAGTTTTTACTTCTCTGATAGTTTTCTCTGCTTCTAGTGGTATGATGCGCTCAAGGCAGTAGCCCGACTGTCGACAGGGATCCCAAAGGAATGGAGAAGAAAGGTAAGTGGGTTCACAAGGCTTAAATATAAAAGGACTATCACTCTATCAGAATGTCTGGGAAGTTAAAAAGTATTCTTCATTTACACATAGTGTTTACTATTCCTCCTGTGCCAGGTACTGTTCTAGGTGCTAGGGATGCAGTAGTGGAAAGAACAGAAAAGTTTTTGTCCTCATGGAACTTACAATGAATAAAATATAAAGTGTGCCAGATAGTGATTAGTGCCATGGATAAAAATAAAACAGGCAGAGAACTAAGGGGAGTGTGGGAGAATGGGGGTGAAGAGGTGGAACTTCAAATAGAAGTTGACATGCAAGTAGGACCCTGAAGGAGGTGAGACTTAAGGTGTACAGTTACTTGGGGAAGATAACTCTAGGCAGAAGGAACAGCCAGCTCAAATGCACTCAGCTGGGAGCACCCGGGCCATGTTTGAGGAAAAGTGTGAGGCCACAGGGGCTGGAGCTCAGAGAGCCAGGGGGAAGTAATAAGAGGACTGTAGAGGCAGTGTGTGTGGTTAGGTCATGTATGCCCTCCTAGACTCTAGGAGGTGTAGATGGGAGTAACGTGTGTGTGTGTGTGTGTGTGTGTGTGTGTGTGTGTGTGTGTGTGTGTAGGTATGTGTACATATCACTGATAGTAGATGACATGATTAGATTGAGATCTGTTACAGTTGAGATGCATATCTAACTTGAAGATACCAACTGTGCATTTGGACCTGATTCTGATGCTTAGAACTCTGGTTGAAGATATATGAATCAATGTTATTCCTGCCAAATGGAATAACTTGAAATGTGCTCTAAGGATATTGATTGATAAATATAATCTTTTACAAAATTTTATTCGTTTTATGTGTATGAGTGTTTGCCTGCATGTTTATATGTGAACCATGTGTATGTGTGCCCATGGAGGCAGAAGAGAGCATCAGATCCCTTGGCACTGGTTGTGAGCTGCCATGTGGGTGTTGGGAACTGAACCTGGGTCCTCTACAAGAGCAGCCAATGTGCCTAACCTCTGAGCCATCTCTTCAGTCCTAATCTATTCTTAATACTAGAGTTTGAACACTGAGGAGTTTCTCAAAATAAACAATAAAATTGAACTGTGAAATACATTTTTCATAATTAGATTTTCTTGGTAGGATAAAGGAGTAAAAATATTCAGTGACTCTTAAAAGAATTGTTTATTCTGGGACCGCATCTGCCAGATTTGTGTGTATGGAGTGGGTGTTGTGTATATGTGTGTGTGGGAGATTTAAGGCAGAGGCTTCCATGGAGAAAAAAGGCCCATTATTCAAGTAACTGAAATAAAATAGAACTGCCCCCCCATTTTTAACCAGTATCTCTAATGATTGGATTGCTACTTTGCACATTGTAGGAACTCAACAAATATTTATTGAAAGAGTAAATGAAAGACCCTATAGGGTACAATTTCATATAGCAAAAATTTTGCTGAGTTTCTTGTAGACCCCCGTGTGAGCTATGTTTGGTCTAGGAACAGTTCTTTTTCTTTTTTTTTTTTTTTGCTGGACACAATAACAATTTTCTAATAAAAGTGAAATGATGTGTTTTACTTTTCCAATCTTCTTTATTAATATTATGTTTTAGGTTTGGTTGACCTTGGCAGATCATTACTTGCACAGTATAGCCATCGACTGGGACAAAACTATGCGCTTCACTTTCAATGAGAGGAGCAATCCTGATGATGACTCAATGGGCATTCAGATAGTCAAGGTAATGACCCTGAACTTGGCCTGTGGTTCTGTTGCAGAAAAATGGACTTCAAGAGCCAACTGTTTCCTAGACAGAGGATCAGTTGCTTTCTATCTTGTGGTCCAAATGTCTTTGTAGTTTCTGCCTTCTCATTTCATCAGTTAATAGCTTTTGTAAGGACAACCTTGACTGTCTTGTCTTCATAGATTTAAATGTTGCCAGTAAGAGTAAAATGTGAATGAGCTTCCATTCGTATTCTATGTTATTTATTTTCCTCATGTGATAGGAGATTGAAATTCATTTTTAGTTTCTTTAGTATGGGCTAGGGCTGCCAAATGTATTTTTACATAAAAGTTATTGACTTGAGAAATTGAAGTCAAATGTATTTCATATTAGAAGCATTCAGCTCTTATTATGTAGTTTAACTGTTGATTTATAGTTGGTTAGGGTGACTGAAGGATCTACTTCAAGCCAGCTGTGGAGGCAGCTGTGGTTGCATACCTGCATTATTACAGTTGATTAGAGCCTGGTGTTAAAAGCCAAGGATGCTGATTTCATTTGGTACCAGAATAATCCTCTTACATAAGGCTCAGGCACATGGGTTTTGATTTATATGAGTGTATCACAGTGTGATGCTAAGCTCGGATTTTAAAAGGAAGGCTGTTCCATCTACATTTTGGTCACTGCAAGATGGCTAATGTGTTGGCACATTTGAATATATTTTTTAAGGAGGAAATACTAAAATGAGCTTCTTTCTGATCTAACTTGGTCTGTTTCAAACAAATGCTAAAAAAGAATCATGGCATTGCATATTGAGGCCCTTTGCATTATCCATATTTCAATTCTTTATCTGAAATTTCAGAATAGGTTTCACAGAGACAAGTGTTTCATATTTGAAATATTCATTTTCTGTCTAACTTATGAATTAAGACAATGCATATTTTATAATCATGTTATTAAAAGGATCTTTTATTTTTTCATTGAAGCAAATGCTATGTCGGTAAAATGACTTTAGCTCCTAAAAACTATAGTCTCTTGATAATTAATTTATAGCTGTTAACTCCCTTACATGTTAAAGTGCAGCAAATGTTTTTGTCTGTATTATAGAAATTTATAAAATGATGTGCATAGGGTGATTTTTCTGTGTTTACAATACATCTTTTAGTTTTCACTATTTTAACCTATTCCTTAATATTAGAGCTTTGGTAATTAAATATACCTTTTTTTTTTGTTTTTTTTGAGACAGGGTCTCCCTGTAGCCCCAGCTGCCCTGGAACTCACTATGTAGACCAGGCTGGCCTTGAACTCACAGAGATTCGCCAGCCTCTGCCTCCCAAGTGCTGGGATTAAAGGCATGCGCCACTATGCCTGGCTCAAATATACCATTTTTATACAAAGGATTAATATCAACATCTACATGCATGTGTTGATATGAGTTTTATATATGTATATATATAAATATGACTGATGCTTGTTTTAAAAATAAACTCTCAACTTTCATGACATTGTAATATGGTTTTGTTAATTGAATAACTTTTTATGTTCATTATGGAGATATTTTAAGAAAATTTGCCCAAGTCAAATTCCCCTTGTAAATCTCTTAGACTATATTTAGAAAGCAACAGAAAAAAGAGAAAAATTTAAGATTATTTTGGCTTATGAGTATAAGCTGCATATAAGTTAAAAAGCAATTATCCATGTTGATAAAGGTAAATATGAGGTAAAGAAATAAAAAGTTCTTTTTGAGGGAGTAGTAGAAATTATACTTGTAAACTTTCAATTACTGTGACAAAGTTATGACATAATACCTGAGACAGTCAACTCATAAAGAAAAAATATTTATTTGGTCACAGTTTCAGAGTTTTTCATCCATGGTTGATTTACACCATTGTTTTGGGTTGTGGTGAGGCAGGCCATCATATTAGGAAGTGTGTGATGGAGTAAAGCTACTTACTTCATGGGGGCCAGGAACCAGAAAGAGGAGAGGCCAGGGTCCCAATAGTCTTTTCAAAGACATACCGCCAGACCCTACTCCCTACTAGACCCTACCTCCTAAAGGTTGCAGTGCTTCCTAATATATCACAGACTGGAGATTAAGCCTGTACATGGCCTGTGGGGACATTGCAGGGCCAACTATAGCAGGAGGCATTTTAAAACTATCATGTTCCTCCCTTAGGATCTGCATCGCACGGGCTGTAGTTCCTACTGTGGTCAAGAGGCTGAGCAGGACAGGGTCGTATTGAAGCGGGTTCTGCTGGCCTATGCCCGATGGAATAAGAATGTTGGGTACTGCCAAGGCTTCAACATCCTAGCTGCACTGATTCTGGAAGTGATGGAAGGCAATGAGGGGGATGCACTGAAGGTGAGTATCGGGCAACTGAAAGACTTTACAGTGACATTTCATTCTGTAACTCTCCTGTTTGATACTTTACCCTTCCTAATACCTTTGTAATTACTTAAAATAACATTTTCCCCAAGTTAAAGCCATGTCAGGTGACAGAGTGGTGTAACCACTAATGATGAGGAAAATAAATGTTTTCATTCTCATAAGATATTCTAAAAGCAACTTAAATTTTGATTGCTCGTAACACCAAGCCCGTATTCAGTTTCTTTGAGTCAGAAGTTTGGGCATGTCTGGGCCAGCTCAAGAGCAAGCATATCACTCTGGCATTCACACCAGTGGCTGTTGGGATCTCATTTGAAGACTCGAGTGGCAGGAACATTTGCTAAGTTAATTCATGTGGTTGTTGGCAAGATTGAATTCCTCATAGGCTGTTGAACTGAGAGGCCTCAGGTTTTTAATTGGTGGTTGACCGGAGACCCTTTAGTCCTTGCCATGTAAGCTCTCCATCTCACAGACTGGTGGCTGACATTCCCCAGAGAGAGCAAGACAGAAGAGATTACAGATTTGTAGTCAAATGCCAGGTGGGACAGCCATTGTTTTCCTGTGCTAAGTGGTCACCAGGTCTAGCTCTGACTTAAGGGTGTGACTACCAGGCCTGGGGATGTAGCTTTGTTGGTGGAATGCTTACCTAGCATTCACAAAGCCTTGGTTTGATCACCAGCACCACATATATCTGGTGTGCTAGTGCACTCCTGTAATTACAATGCTTGAGAGAGAGAGAGACAGGAAGATGAAGAGTTCATGGTCAACCTGAGCTACATGAGACCCCATTACAGAGAGAGAGAGAGAGAGAGAGAGAGAGAGAGACTACAAGGAGATAGGGACCATTGGGATTACATTAGACATTACCTGTCTACCACATCTGGCTGGACTGTCTTTTATGGTTGTTGTAGTCCTGTATTCAGGGTAAGGTGTGGAGGTGGTGAGCCAAGGGTTTCTTTGGGAGGTGTCTGCATGGAGAAAGATTATGAAAGTAAATTGTGTCTTTATCTTTGAATCTTTTATGTCTAAGTCCTTTGTTTGTTGAAAGTGGTTCTGGAAACATTCTTTGAGATGGAACACTGGCAGTGTGAGCTTAGAGGTCTGAATGTGAGTGGATAAGTCATGACAAGTGTAGTCTACAGGAGAAATGAAGCCTTTCAAATGTGGAGGGGGGCCACTGCCTTATTTGCTTAGGGCAGTGTGGGTTGCCAGATCACAGCTGAACCTTTAAACTGCTGTTGATGGCAGTATTTGTGGTATATGAGATTTGATCTTTGTATTCAAGCTCCCACCTGTTTGACTGTGGTGAATGCCTCAGTGATATGGAAAAATAAACAAATGTTCCTCCTGGATAAAAATACACACCACAGTGGACTTAATTATAAACCCAGCCTGATAGGTATTCACCCTCTCCCGTTTTCCATTCATGTATTGAATAGCTTGGAAGCTACTTGCTCATCAGATAGGTGATAGTGGGAGAGAGGGGAGGGAGGACATGACAGCTCAAATGCATAACATTAAGGTATTTTAAATTAAGGAGTAATTTTATTTATTCAGTCTATAAGCTTCAGTGTTTTCTTTTCTCAGATGCCATTTACATCTCTAAAATAGGAACTGTTATTTTGGAAAGTTGGAATAAGATTCAGATTGAGGGGTGGATTGGAGAGGTGTGCACATGCCCCCCAGATCATGAAAGGGCTCAGTAATAACTGAGAAATTAAAAACACTCATAAAAAGCTGGGTTGGAGCTGAATGTGATGGTGCATACCTTTAATCCCAGCACTTGGGAGGTGGTGGATCAGGAGTTCAAGGGCAGCCTTGGCTACATAGGCAGTTCAAGGCCAGTCTGAGGTACATGAGATCCATTTAAAACAAAAAACCCCAAAGCAAACAAAACCAATACAAAACAAAACGAGAAAGAAAGAAAATGAATGCAGTGCATGCCCTGAGAAACCACACGAGGCGATCAACCGACGATGAGGTCTTGTGGTTGGACACTCTGTATACGGATGAGAGCTGGGCTCAGGAGACATTTCTGTTGCCCAGGAAATCACTGGGTATCTGTGTTTTTCCAATAGCCATTTTAGCTTTTGCAAGTTGAAATTCCCGGGGAAATCCATAGAAACGTGCAAACCACTTCCCATTTCTCAACACTTCAAGTTTTCTCTGTAACTGTTTTGTTTATATTTGTTAAAAATTAGAAGCAGAAGAGGGCTTCAGATTCCCCTGGAACTGGAGTTAAGGACGGTTCGTAGCCACCATGTGAAGCCCTCTTCTGACCTCCGTGGCATTGCACAACACGGGTGCACTCACATACAGGCAGGCAGTATACTCATACACATAAAATAAAAATAATAAATAAAATATTAAAAAAATTAGAATCTCTCTCATTACTAATCCTTATATTATTATTAAATTTTTTCTTTATTTTTGAGAATGTTATAGACGTTAATGAGATATCTACCCCCATTTCTCTTGTCCAGTTTCCCTCATGTCTCCTCTAACATGGCTGCTCTCAACTTCATGTCTTTTTTTTTTTTTTGATAATCCACAAAGGCTAATTAGTGATGTTCATATGTGCACGGATGTGGAGCCATCCACTGGAACATGGGAAACCTGTCAGTGGTCACATCCTCAAAAAAGAGTGATTCCTTCTCCCCTAGCTACTATCCACTATCCACTGTCAACAGAAACTCAAGAGGAGAATTCAGTCATAGTAGAGTGAGGGGGCTGCCTCTTATGTCCTAACATCAGAGTTTGAGAAGCCTTAAGAACAATAATTTTATTGTGTCACATAATTATTAACATAACAAGAAATATTTTTCTTGTAGTTTCAAGGAGGTCATAGTTTCTTAGTAAAAATGTGAGTGTTAGGGCTGGGCTGTAGATCAGTGTCAAAGTGATCTCCTAATATGTGGGAGGTCTTGGGGTGAGTCCCCAGCACCATAAATACAGAAATGTGAAAATTTTTCTTATACTATATAATTTATCTTTAAGGTACAACAATCCTTACATTATTACCTTGGAATTTGCCTTTGTCCTATGAACCCCTTTCTCTCTGACCCACACCCACCAGAGTCTCTATTCTGGGAATCCTCTCACCGCTACTCTCTGGCCACCCTCTCTCCCCAGGGACTGGGAGGACTCTTTTTTTTCCTGTTGCCAAGCTTCTGCCTCTCAGATGAAATGTTTACCTAGTAAATCCTGTCCTAACATAACAAAGCTACAACCCCTTGGGCCTGCCCATCCTGTACCAAAGGCTGCAGAGGGGCCTCTCAGGAGTCTGTCCTCATTACAGAACTAAGTTCTGAAAACTAGAAATTATAAACTGCAGATGGGGAAGCATGGACCCTTAGCAGGACTAGAAGCTAATGGTGGGGTGCTGTGAGATGCTCCACCAGCATACAGAGCCAGCTGGGATTTTGTTCCTTGTTTTTTGGTGCTCTGAGAAGTGAGCTGGTCTTTCAGGGAGTGGAGCATCACAGAGTGTGTAAGCTGAATGAGAAAAGACTGTGCACATGTGTGTTTTGTTAGATCATTCACATTGTTTTTGGCATTTTAGAAAAGGCAATACAGATCGAACAGTCAGAATGAGTCAGTAATTTGAAGAACTTGTGTGACCATGTTACAGTTTTGGAAAGTACTGTGTATTCAAACAAAACCTAGCCATATTCTCTTGGGAGAGGAAAGGGACAAAGCCAACATCAGTCACTCTAATGGTCCAGGTGGCAGTGAGTGCATCTCAGGCCTGTCTCAGTGTGGGTGTTTTATGGTAGGTGAGCTCTTGGGTTTCATATCCAGGTTGTAAAACCACTGACATCAAGGAACCAGGACAGAGGCTCCTGCTGGGTGCTGAGGAGGCTTGTATTTAATCTTGTCTCCATGAAGCTGACGGTTATGTAATCACAGCTACATATGGGGTGAACTGAGGTCTGGCAGCCCATCTAGAAATTTCTCAGCCCGGCCAACTTTGGGTCTGATTTACTTAGATAATTATGCCGCCCGCTCCTTAGCAGGGTGTAGGTAAGGCTTGAATATCTGGAACATTTGGTTCTGACACATCGGGAGGCTAGGATGCTTTGGCTAGCTGTGATTTGTCTATTTGGATGTGCTCTTTATTTTGGACATGTCAGGATCCTGGTTGTCTTATCTTTTTCTTTAGATTATGATTTACCTGATTGATAAGGTACTTCCTGAAAGCTATTTTGTCAATAATTTGCGGGCACTGTCTGTGGATATGGCTGTCTTCAGAGACCTCTTGAGAATGAAGCTCCCTGAACTATCTCAGCACCTGGATACCCTTCAGAGAACAGCAAACAAAGAGAATGGAGGTAATAATGATTCATTGCTATTTTACCTCTGAAAATATTTGACTTCTTTTATTCAACTCTACCTATGAGCTTAGATTCTGAATGGAAACACAGGTTGCCAGGTGTTTTTGTTTTAAGATCTTAGCGCAATCAAACAGTTACATTTCCAGAGAACAAAAACCTGAAAGTATGTGGGACCACACACTGAACCTTTTACTAGCTGTGGATGGGTAGGTTGTTGATTGAGAGCCTAATTCTGCCTTGGTACCAGATCAGCCGCTTACAGGATGTGTTGTACTCTAGATGAAGAATCATGTCTTCCTATTCAGTTAGACTGCTCTAAGCTGACTCTAGGCTTATATGAGTTCTTTGAAAAGCTAAGTTATAGGTATAACTTTGCCAGAAGCAATGAGATTATGGAAGAGAGGTTCTGAGAGTCCCTGGTAGTTAGTGGTATCATCCTGGCTAAATTGCTGTAATTATACCTACTGTGTGGATTTCTGCAGCTGTGCTCTGGACACCAGAAAGGATCTTCAGCAGTTCACTGTGCTTCCTGTACATACGTGCCAGTTCTGTTATAGATTGCACTTGTAGTCTACTCTCATTCACACATTTAAAACTGGGAGCACAAGGGTTGTCGTTCAGTGGCAGAGTGTCTAGCATGCACAAGGCTCTGGGTTCGATCCCTTGCATCACCACTAAGGGAAATAAATAAAATAAAGAAATAAAAATAAAAAGTTAAAATCTGGGAACATATTAAAGGATTTTGTTGCTGTTTTTGAGACAGGGTCTCACTGTGTAGCCCAGGTTGGCCTTGGACTAACAGAGGTCTTTCTGCCTCAGCCTTCCAGTGCTGAAATTACAAACGTGTTCCCCCATGCTCAGCTATATTAAAGGATTTTGAAGATCTAATTGTTAATTAAAATATACTGGACAGGGGCTAGAGAGATGGCTCAGTGGTTAAAAGCACTGATTGCTCTTGCAGAGAACTGGGATTTGATTCCCAGTGCCCATATGGCAGCTAACAACCATTCATAACTCTAGTTCCAGGGGATCCAACACCCTCTTCTAACCTCTGTGGGCATTATACGACGCGGGTGCACTTACACACATGGCAATACAAAAGGCAATACACTCGTATACATAAAAATAAAAATAATGAGTAAAATATTTAAAATACACTGGACATTTTAGTGACTGCTGGTGTCTCTTAACTATCTTTTCATTTGATTGGGTGTGTAGTGTAACTATGTACCTTCATGAATTTCATGGTTCCAGACAAACCAGTCTTACTTGTCCTATAGTCAGACTTGAGCTACTGAGCTGTGTGTTTTTCCTCAGCTCTTTTGTACTTGACTGTGAGGAATAACCTCAGGTTCTAATCTCTGAGCAAATACTTATTCATAGGAAAAAAAGAAAACGAGTGCAGGGAAACCTTTTGCTTATACTGGGGTAGTTTTTCTTACTGACTATAATTGGAAGGATCAGTCTAAATATCTAAATCTTTATATTCAGTAATAGGTACACATTTATAATCAACAGAAGCGGATGTAAGCGCTGGGCTTTCAGTGAGCTCAGAAATTTCAAAACAGCCTTGCTCCCAGATCTTTCTTTAGAATGTGTATAATTTAGCTCAAAATATTTTTAAATGTAATGTTGTTTAGCATCTAAATATTGGAAAATTTCTAGCCAACTTTCTATTTAATTCCATTGTGGTCCTCAGACCACAATATAATTTAGGGATATAATATAATTATATAATTTAGGGATAAATAATTCATAATTAACAATTTTAGTCTTAAGAGCTACACTTGGATTAAAGCAGTCACTCTAAGATTTTGAAAGTCTGCTGGGTTTGTTTTTGAGGAACTAAATTCCATTGTTTTTTTACTATGTTTTTGGTGAGGAAAATGTCCTCTTTAATTTTCAACACCCTTTAATAAGTAGAGCCAGGGTAAGCTTACATAGAGATTTCTGAAGTATGATAAAGACTTTGGGAAGCACACGACTTGAAGCTTTCTACTAAAAACACGTTCTTGTAGAATCATGGCAGGGGAAAAGGAAGAAAGAAGCCACTTGAAGCGATGCGAAGAAAGGGGCTAGGAAGCGTGTTTGGGTGGATGTGAATGCTGAGAGGGCGCCTGTGGGTGTCAGAGCCTCAGTTTTGAAGGACCTGTGTGTGCTTGTTTCGTTTCAGGTGGATATGAGCCCCCACTCACCAATGTCTTCACGATGCAGTGGTTTCTGACTCTCTTTGCCACATGCCTCCCTAACCACACAGTTTTAAAGATCTGGGATTCAGTCTTCTTCGAAGGTTCAGAGATCATCCTAAGGGTGTCCCTCGCTATCTGGGCAAAATTGGGAGAGTAAGTGACTTCCCCCGTCTGTTCTCTGCTGTTAGCAGTCTTTGGGCAATTAGTGTAGAGCACTGACACTTCTGCATGAGGAAAAGAGAAAGTGGTGTGCCTCCTTGATTTGCTTAGCCTCCAGAAACCTCAGCTGACTCCCTGGTTGCTCTGGGAAAGAGGGAATCTATTTCAGGGAAGGACCAGGTTTCTTCTGGACTCCTCTCCTCCTCAGTGTCCAACTCCCTCCTCATCAGAGGCTTTCTGGATACTCCATTGGAAGAGAAAAGAGAACTTAAAGCAGAAACTGGAGTATTTGGAGAGAAGTAGGTGGATTTGTTGGCTCATATCATGGTTTGGATTATTTATTTTTATTTTTGTCTTGAGAGAGCCTCATGTAGCCTAGGCTGGCTCAACTTGATAAATAGTCAAGAATGGCCTTGAACTCCTGATCCTCTATTTCCCAAGTGCTGGGATGACAGGGGTGCCTCACTACACCTGGCTCTTGTATTATTTATGAAACTTTATTATTGACTCTGTTATGCCTTCTGAGGTATGATAAAATTGAATGAGATAACCTGCACATGTACCTGTGCTTGTACATAGTGGATCGCAAGGCATTCCGCCCTTTCATGTGGAATCATGTCTATGCTGAAATCTGGTCTGTCAGAACATATCACCAAACAACCTTACTTCCTCTTCTTAACCAGTAGCAGGTGTGAGAGAGAGAGTGTGTGTATACTCATCTGTAGAACTACTACATTAATGTTGTACTTTTAGGGCATTGGAAGAAATATTAAGATAGTCTCACAGCTAACTTAAGAAATAGAGATGTTTTCAGTGAATGCTATGAAGGACTGAGTAGGTGTTTTAAAAGGTCTCCCTATTACATTTGTTTATGTGTGTGTATGTGTATGGGTGCATGTGCATCACTGTATGCCTTGTATGTATCTGTGTGCCTTGTGTATGCAGGTGCCCATGGAGGCCAGAAGAGGGTGTTGGATCTTCTGAAGGTGTAATTACAGGTGGTTGTGAGTTGCTTGACATGGGTGCTGCGAACCGAAGGAGGGTCCTCTGGAAGAGCAACAAGCACTCTTAACTGCTGCGCCATCTCTCTAGCTCTGTTTTAAAAGTTTTTAACTAGGCTTTTTATTTATACCTTGTTTCTGGAGAGTCTTCCAGGATTTTAAGTGTTTTTGCAAAGAAAGATCCACCAACGATCCATTTTGGAATTAAAAAAATCACTAATGTGTGTATTTTTTCATCACATAGCTGTCTTTCTTGCCTTTGTTGTAAGTTGCTTTTCAGATAAGGAAAGGAATTCATCTGTATGAGGTTTGCTGTGCCATTTACTTATCTTTTCATTTTCTCTCAATACACACCGCTTTCTGAACCCATGCATTTCTAACCTACTCCCTCATTTACACTTTCTGAGTGTTCATAGTTTCTCTGGGTATGCTAGTTCTTGGTTTGTTGCATTCAGACGGTAAAGAACTGTACTGTAGGGTGGGTTGGTGATGGTTGCCTTTGTGTTAGTTCTCAGTGATGGAGCAGGAGGAAAAGAGGTGATGTTCCTATCTCATTACTATTTATCTGTTGGGTCAGAATTTATTCCTAGGGTAGTGTCAGGGTCATATAATGTAATGATGATTGCTACAAGTAAGTGAACAGGCACTGTTCCAAGCACTCAGCCTGTGTTAATTCATCTACTCTCCAACATCCTGCAAGCTATGGTCTGTTACCATCTTCATCTTAAGATTTATTTTTATTTATGTTATATACATATATACATACATGCATATATATATATATACACACACACATATATAAATAAATGAGTGTATGTCATATGTGTGCATGTTCTCATGGAGGCCAGATGAGGGCATCAGTTCTCCTTGGAGCTGGAATTACAGGTAGTTGTGAGCCCCTCAACATGGGTGCTAGGAACTGAACTAGGGTCCTCTGGCATAGAAGCAAGTGCTGTTAACTGAGGAGCCATCTCTCCCGCCCACCATTTTACAGATGTGAGAACTGAGGTACAGAGTTCAGTGAACTGCCTGGAATCACCTGATTAGTAAGTAGGAGGGACTTGTTTTGCATCTAGGCATTCTGAATTTGTGCTTTTTATTATGCAAATCTATTACTCATAATTGGCTCCTGTTTATGAATTGTAAATGTTTCTGGAGTTTTGCTCATTATAATTATATATCTTCTGAGCCTGCAACCTGTGAGGAGCAAGGAAAGGTCACCAACATATATCAAGTGCTGACAGCGCCTGTCATTATGTTTGGCAGTTTGAGCGTATTATCTCATTTGGTTCTGCTAGTAACCCCACAGAGCAGGCGAGATTATTCTTCCCTGTCTCTTCAAGTGAGAAAATTATCCTAAGAAGGTTAATTAACTCGTTCACAGTCTTGCAGCTAATGAGAAGCAAAGCCAGGACTGGAGCCTGCAACTTTCAGACTCCAGTGCCTGTCATCTTCCCATAAATGCTCCACTGTGGGGAACATTGACAGTGTGTAGGTAGCCTCTGGTCCATGTATAACTGAATAACATGTGTGCTTGCCTTATGCATTGTCTGTGGGGCTCTCTATTCACCTTGCTTCTGCAACCTGTTCTTCCTTTCACTCACTGGAGGTTGCTTTGGGAATCTCTAAGAGTTCACTGCCATAGCATCTTTTATGTCCTTTCTCTTCTGACCTCCCATATCGGCACCTGCCCTCATCACCTCACGAGAGGTGTATATCCTCCTAATTGTGCCCAGATATGCCAAGCCACCTCCAGGCCAACATTGCCAAGGGTACAGCTGTTCTATATCACTCCTGTTAAAAGCCTCTTGGTCACTTGTGCCCCCCAAGAGGCTTAGCCAGCTGATCCAACCTTTGTCCTCAGCTCTCACTGGCTCCCTCTGGCTGTGCAATGATTCCCCCCTGCCCAGGAATGCTGGTCTTGTAGAACAGCAAGCAGTTCCCCACAGAGGCCTATTGTTTGACATCTAGTAGTCTTTGCAATGCTTTTTCCTACTTGGCAGCTGGAGAGCATCTTTCAGAACTCATCTCAAGCATGTTCTCCCCTTCATCCCCTCCTCTCCAGGGTAAACTTGACCACTTTTCATTTGACTCACCTGCTCTGCTGTATTTTTGTAATGAGAATTCCTCAGTTTATTTTAATTATTTAGTCACATGATTGTGACAATGAGATTTGAGCCCGAGGTTTTTTTTTCCATTACTGTTTCTTGTTTTTTGAATGACTCTGAAAAATCATCCAGCATTAGTGCCTGTCAGAACATGGCTTATAGTTGGTGGGCAAATAGAATTATTCTACCATGCGAAAAACATTGTAATAGATAAAGCAGCCCACTATTTGGGGCTATTTCTTTTTTCCCTCTTTAGAAGAAATATTGAAGTCTAACCTGTTTCATAAGTTCCCAGGTGACAAATTCTTCCATGAGAAGAATTCAGTTAGGCTATGAACACATTCTGAAGACTGATGAAATATTTAGATAGAGTTTTTGTGTTCTTCATCTCTTAACCCTACTGATTTGAAGTCTGTCTATGAAAGATAGCCCTGTAGATTAAAACCAACGGATTCTCTACAGGGGATAACTGCTCTTTAGTTCCAATTTCACGGTTCTCATTTCTGGCTGTTCATAAGTATTCTGATGTGCAGAATGGATCACATGGGAAGAATAAAAGTGCCCAGTGGGCTGTGAGGCTCAGGGAGCTGTGTAGGAAAGATGGGAATTCATTCTATAACAATTATCTCAAAATTACTTTTGGTGTTTGTTTTGTTTTCACTGTTTTTAAAAAATGAGGTCATGCTGTGTTCTCTAGGCTGGTCTGAACTCCTGAGTTCTAGTGATCATCCTGTGTCAGCCCCCTGAGTAGCTGGTATGAGAGGTGTGCATTACCATGACCACTTCGCTCTCGGTAGCGTTGATCTTTGTTCCATGGATATCAGGCTATACTGAATGTGTATAGGATCTTGACGTGAGTTGATTGCTAGCTTGATTGACTTACTGGCAAGAGGCAGCACGTGCTCTTGTTCCTGTTTACAGCATGACTGCTCTGAGCGAGTCCTTTTTCTGTCCTCTTTTCATCTAGGCAGATAGAATGTTGTGAAACAGCAGATGAATTCTACAGCACCATGGGATGCCTTACCCAAGAGATGTTGGAGAATGACCTTCTACAGAGCCATGAACTCATGCAGGTAAGTGGGCAGTGTGGGCAGTTTGGGCATGGGAACAACAGGTGCTGGTGTGCTACCCTTGAGAAATATATTGGCCAGTCCTCAGTCATACCTTTTCTGTTGATCAAGAGTGTGCATAATTTGATAAGAATCTTTTTCACAAAGAAAAGGAAGAAATGAATGATGTTTTTTGTGGCCTTCATTCAAACTGTATTTCTTAAAAATGTTTAGGTACAAGATAAAAACAAACTTGGAAAAAACCAAAACAAAACATCAGGTGCTTATTGTGAGTGATTCTGAGAATTAAAAAAAACTTTAACTTTATTATGGCACATATGTGGAGGTCAGAAACAACCCTTGACTCAGTTATCTCCTTCCACTGAGGGTTCAGAGGCTTGCACAGCAAGTGCTTGTACCTGCTGAGCCATTTCCCCAGCCCTAATTCTAAGATTTTTTTTTAAAGGGAGACATGTGGGGCAAGGAATTATTAAGACAAAAGGAGATTAATCTGCATCTTGGTTTATGGCCAACTGCTGTTACCATATATTAATCATAAGCCTCAGTGTGAGACATTTGAGGGATTTGGTTATTTTTTTTTTGTCATGTTGCTGTAGCATTGAAATTGACAGTATCAGTATGATAGCTGGTTTTTTTTTTAGCATTCCTTCCTATTAGGCCCTGTGACATCATGTTGTCCTCATCCTCTTCCAGTGCTTTGGGCTGTTGTGATCTTCCTGTTTCTTCCTCTTACCCTTGACCAACTGCAGATTGTATCCAAGGCTGTTCTTGGGACTTATTTTCTTTTTTCTTTGTCATGTCTCTCTTCTTTATTTTGGTTTCACCTTTATGTTGGGTTACATGCCTTGGGTCATTTTTGGGTATTGATTTTGAGTCAATAGACTATAAAACTAAAGCTCAGAAACTGACTCTGGGCTTGAGGAATGAGGAAATTCATTTTTCTTCTCACTTCCAGGCATCCCCAGCTGCTTCTCAGAATCTCTGGTTCTTAGCTGACCTCTGATTTATTGGGAGTATTGATAGTCTGCTGTGACTTCCCTGGACATTAATATTTGAATCTCAGTGCTCCTTTATGTTTGATCTTTCTTCCTTCCTGTCTCAAAGGAGGAAGGAGGAAGTGTTCTGTCTGACCCTGACATCTGAGGAAGATGCCTTGAGCATTCTTCTGTGTCCCAGTTCCATGCCTGGCAAGTTCCATTCATGAAATCCTTTACATTCTACAGATCTACCAAAATCATGTGCTGAAAGCAGGACTCGGAGAGACTGGCCCATCTCTCTTGTGCTTGAAACTTCTGTGGCTCCTCACAGCCTATAAACCAGCACGGATTCATCATCCCATGCTCTTGACTCTCTGGCGGTAAATCTCCCTTTTTGGCTAGAGTTCCCGTTCCTCCCTTTTGCATCCTGTCCTCTCCTCTTTGGGTGAAACTTTCTTTGATGTTTGAAGAAATGTCTGGAAACACACTTCCTCCAGACTGCTGCCCTCTCCAGTTTTGCTGCTTCTGATTTCATAGGTCTTCCCTTTGAAAGTTTCTGTCTTTCATGAAGTTTCTCTCATCATCTAGCTAATGTCAGCTTCCATTTCATAGTTTCATTTGTGCCTCTTGTGAGAGCTTTCATCACCTTCTGCCTTGACTTAAGATTGCATCTTATTTCTTCTGTAAGATTGTCAGTCCTGGGGCTGGAGAGATGGCTCAGCACTTAAGAGCATTGGCTGTTCTTGCAGAGGACTCAGGTATAGCTCCCAGCATAACCATCCCAGCTAACAACCATCTGTAACTTCAGTTCCAGGGGATCCAGTGCTGTCTTCTGGCCTCCACAGGCATTGCAAACAGAGGTGCACTTACATACAAGCAGGCAAAACACTCATGCACATAACATTTTTAAAAAAATTGTCAGTTCCGTGAGGACAGGGGCTGTGTTTAGCATTTTGCTTTTGATAAGAGTTTTTCAGAACATTTATTAGTTCATGAAGTGAATGTTTGTAGAGAGTCTGTGGCTTGTTTTTTTTGCCTTTTCTTTTCAGTATTTGCTGAGTTAAACAAAACTCAGATGATGGCCCTTCTTCTGTATTCTGTCTGCTCTTAAAGAATCAGCATTTTTCTGCTGGAGTAATTATCTATGCTTCTTGCTTTGATCACTTGGTTGTTCTATTGATCCACATACTAAAAGCTTCTGTGCATCTTTCCTTCCTTCCTTCCTTCCTTCCTTCCTTCCTTCCTTCCTTCCTCCCATCCATCCATCCATCCATCTGTTGTATGTTTGCTTGGTTGGTTGATTGGTTTTGATTTTCTGAGACAGAGTCTCATGTATAGTCCTTGCTGGCCTGGAAATTGCTATGTAGACCATACTGGCCTCAAATTTAGAGATCTTCCTGCTTTTGCCTCCTGAGTATTGGGATTAAAGGCATGTGCCCCCACACCCAGCTTTTTTCAAGATTTTTTTTTTAGGGGCTAGAGAGATGGCTCAATGATTAAGAGCTTTCTTTCTTTCTTTCTTTCTTTCTTTCTTTCTTTCTTTCTTTCTTCTTTGAGACAGGTTCTCAAATGACACTGGGCTGTTAATAACTATTGTAAGTAGCAATGCTTTAGCCTCATTTTCTAGGTTCTGTATTGACTTCTCCAAATACTTATTGAACATCCTTAAATGTTATGCTAAGTACTGAAGATAAATGTGGGAAGAAGACATGGAGTCTGTGCTCAGGTTCCTCATGTAGCTTAGGATGTGTACTGAGGTTTGAGTGGAGGTTGGAACTGAGGAATAGGGTGAAGAGAGATGAAGAAAGATGCTTCCATGTGGGAATTAATATGTGGTTTTACTTTTAAAGATGAATTAGAGTTGGCTAGATTCTGTGTCTATGTGTGGAGGTGATGTACATACATGTAAGGGCCCATCTCTGTGTGTGTTGAAGGCACTGGTAAGAGGTGATTGGCAGTTTGCAGCTGTGCTGTTGCTTTTCTCATTGCTGTGACAAATATCTGATGAAAATCAACTTAGGGAAAAAGTTTTAGTTTGGCTCATGGTTTAAAAGGGCGCAGTCCATGGTGTCGGGGAAGCATAGGAGAGTTCATGGTGGCAGGAAGAGGCATCTGGAATTCCTCACTTCCGATAAGACCTTCTCTGAAGGTATGCAGCCTTCTCTTTTTGTTCAGTTCAGGATGCCAGCCCATGGGGTGCTGTTCATATTCAGGGTGGACCTTTCCTCTTCAGTTATAGCCTATCTGGAAACTCCCTCACAGACACACCCAGAGGTGTATCTCCTAGATGATTCTAAATCCAATCATGTTGACAGTGAAGATTATCACAAATTTACCCCTTGTCAGCTTGACAACCAAAGACATCACTTTAAATCTTACCAGTGACTGAGGGAGCAGCAGGATTAAAGGATGGTACAGAAATAATGCATGATGGGTGAGGGACAGCACAAGGGTTTGTTCTTCAGTGATTGGGTTGTGGGAGAGTATAACCGCTGGCAAGGAACTTGGACTCCATCTTTAGGCCAGTGAAATTGTGCTTACTGCAGTTGTAGGACTTCTGTGGACCCTTTGGTAAGAGAAAAACAGGATCTATAGATCTGTCAGGTCTTTAAGGAGAGGAGGGGACTGGCTTGAATTGTGTTTTGTGTCAACTGTATGAGAAGATTTGAAAAGATTTGAAAAGGTCAAATCTGACCCCAGGATGGTCTGTGAGGAGTCAGTGAAGGGCAAAGAGAAGAATGAAGTAGAGACAGACAAAGTGAGGTTGACTCCATATGACCATGGACACAGGGTAGAGAAAGGAGGGAGAGAAATGGGGGAAACAAGGGAAACCCACAAGTTTCTGGATTAGGAGAGAAAGAAGTTGATTCTCAGAGGGAGGAAGGTAAGTGTGTTTCCACACAGGATGCATTGGAGGTAGGCTTTAGATGTCCCATTCCTTATGTGAGGGTCTTTCACACCTCTTCCCACCAGGATAAATTGCTCTGGCCACAGCTCTGTCCCCGTCCAGGCCTCTGTAGGATACATTCCCTCTGATGCTCCCTGTGTCTTGCCCACCTGTGTCTTCCATCTCTTCTCTGTCATCTCAGCCCTTGGTGATGATGCCTCCTCTGGTTTTATTCAATACTGAAAATGTTCAGCAATTGATTTAATGTGAATTTCAGATTATTTGTCATTGTTTGCTAGTTTTTCAAGTGTGTTTTTCTAAGGAAGACATGGGTTTTTCAATGAAAGGGGCTTCATGTTACTTTCTCTGTAGTAACCAGTAGAGTGCTAGGTATATGCTTGGTTGCTCAGTGGGTACACAGAATCGGAGAGCATTGGCTCTGGAGGTAATGGCTTTCAAACTGGACTGTGTATAATAAACATTTCAGGAATATCTTCAAATGCAGCTATTTGGCCTATAGGTGCTTCTAATATAGGTGACTTTTAGATCTGGTTTGAAAGAAGCTTAAAGATTACAACTAATCTAAGTCTGTTACTTTCTAGACAGGAATCTAGGACTTGAACTATGAGCAGCCAGCTTCTTAGTTGTCTAGTAGAGACCGAGGAATGAGACCCATTTCTCTGATACTTGGCCTAATTAATGCTTTCCCCTCCATGACCCAATATCTTATTCAAATGATGTCTTTCTAAAAATGAAATCCTCATTAGAAGAATCACCACATGCCATTTCACTTAGAGTTTAAATATTGCCAGAAGGAATGAGTGATCCTGGATGCCATTCTTGTGCTCCCAGAGTTTCTAATTAGGTACTGGGAGCAAGCATCACTTTTAACTCTGTCTCAACAGAACCCTAGAGGGAGAACTGTAGGCTGTAAGATGATTGGTTAGACTCATAGTAACAGCATCTCTCCTGTCAAGGAGAGCATCTGGGTGAAGAAGAACTAAATCTAATTTTATACATTATAGTTTTCATGTTTCTTGTAAAACATGTCAATAATGGAAAAAGAAATAGAATCCTTTTTCAACAGGGCCTAAATATAAATGTCTATGTAAATGCAGGCTAGTAGTTCAGAGAGTAAA